CAGCCCCGCACCGTGCGGACGTCCAGGTTCTGGGAGGCAGGGGGCGTACACCCTTGCTCAGGCCAACCCCATAGGCCTCCACCTGGGGGACCCTCCAGGCCTGTCCTACCTGGGGGGCCCATGACTCTGTCGGAGGGTCTGTCCTAGCTTCCCCAGAGCCACCGGTCTCGGGTCTCAGGGGGTCTCTTCAGGACTCCCCTAACTCAGGGACCCCAGTGGGAAGGCTCACCCTAGCTTTCCCAAAGCCCTGGGCATCAGATCTCGGGGGACCCTCTCAGCTGGCATCTATCTCAATGGCCCAGGACCCTGTGGAAGGGTCTGCCTCTGCTGCCCCCCGCGCTAGGGCAATGGGAACTTGGAGGTCCCTCTGGCCAGGCCCCCACCTCAGTGGCCCAGGGGTTCACCCCCAGCTGCTGGGCCAGCGTCAGAAAGGCGGGGAGCTGCTGGAGGTCCAAGAGCAGGTAGACGGGCACCCAGCGGTGGGTGGCGGTATCCACCAGGTCCAAAAGCAGGTCCGGGTCAGTGAAGACGTCCATGACCAGGGCCACCAGCTGGGGGTGGGGAGAGGGGCTGTGGGTGGAGCCTGGGGCTCGGGGGACACTGAGTGGGTGGGGCCCTGGGGGTGGAGTTTAAAGGCCTGGCTTCCATGGGATGTTCACACGACTCCTCCATGCGAGTGGGGAAAAGGCGGCCGTCCCTGGAGTCCCCGGCCTCTGACTGCTGGAAAACTGTCACCGTGACCACACGTCTGCAATGGTGAATGGTGTCCCCGGGGCTGTGACACCACACGGCAGCCCTGCCGCTGAGACTGGCGAGCTGGGTGCCTTTGCAGAGCGCTGTGGCTGGCAACACACCTGGGTCCTCAGGGGAGTCCTGGGCGCCAGGGTGGGAGGGCTGGCCCACTAGGCCACCAAGGCCAGCTCGGGGCTGGGGGTAAAAGGGGGCCTGGATCTTGCAGGCAGAAAGATAGGGGTGATGAGCCTGGACTCACCAGCCGGGTGGCCTTGTTCAAGTCCCTGCTCGGCCACTTACAGGCAAGAGACTTAACCTCCCGTGCCTCGGTTTCCCCATGTCCTCAATGGGCATAGCAAGTCCCGAGCTCACAGGGCCCTGGTGAGGATTATACCTTAACCCCCGTGAGGCCCTCAGCGTGGGAGCTGGCAGACGAGAAGCCCGTTAGATAAAAAAATGGGCTGGCGGGGGTTGCACGGGGGCCGTCTGGGCCCTTCCTGGCGACACCTGCCTGGCATGGGGTGGGGTGGGACATAATTAGGTCCAAGGGGCATGGATGTCTAAGAGGGCCCAGCTCTTGGGGAGAGGGTGGGAACCCTCATATCTAAGGATGACGATGTGGCCTGGGACATGTGGGCTTCGGGGCTCCAGGGGAGTGGCTCTGAAAGTCCCAGGAGGGCCTGGGTGAGAGTGCCCCGGCCCCAGAGGACGCGCACCCCCAGGTCTGGGTCTGGGGAACGGACACTGAGCCCCCCTGCCCCCGGGGCCCCACCTTGCGAGCGGCCTGGATTTCCTGGCGCACCAGCTCCTTGAGGGGAGGGTGGCCCTCGCCCGGTGGCTGGGTGTACAGCTGCGCCCGTGTGATGCCCTTCCACCCCGAGTCCTCCGGCCAGCCCAGCCGCAGCGTGGGCACCGGCTCCTCAGACTGTCCCGGCCAGTAAGTCAGGCTGCCAGAGTCTCCAGCGGTGGCGTCGGCTCCCTCTGCTGCCCCGCCGGGCTCCCGCTGGGCTGCCGTCCAGTCCTCAGCCGCCGCCGCCAGGCCCCGCAGCTCGTCCGCGCTCAGGAAGGGCCGCAGCCCCTCGCGCTGCACGCACGCCCCGAACGCCGCGGCGCCCTGGCTCAGCAGGGCCTCCAGCGCCAGCCGCTGGCCCTCGGAGTACAGGAAGCTGGGGCTGCGCTCGGTCAGGGCCGGGTCCTCCGCCCGCGGCTCCGCCCCTTCCAGCGCCGCCAGCTGGGAGGCCGCCATGGGGGCCCCGAGGTGGGAGAGCCTTGAGGCTGGGTGTGTGGAGTTTGGCCGCGTCCGGGGGCACTGACCATCTGGCCAGGCTCCTGACAGGCCGACTCTATGCGGCCATGCAAGGCTTCTAGGGCCCTGAGAAAGCCCAAATGACTCAAATGCTGTCTCTGACTGTCCTGACAAGGGACCCAAATGACTGAGCGCCCAATGCGTGGGCTGCTCAGGCCGACCTCCCGCCAACCTCCAGCCACGGCCGTGACTGGCCGGCCATTTGACCTTCCCACCAGGTGTCTCTGATGGGCTGCTTGACCCACGATCGGCCCTGCGTGTGGGCTACACTGACCACCTGACAGTCTCTAAACTCTGTGACCTGTCAGCTGCCCATCTCTGCTCCAGCACACGACAAGCTCCGGCCTGCTGGCCACGCAATGCCCCAAGGCCCCAGCTGACCCTTCAGCGGGCTCAGGACCCTTCAGGTCTAGCCGGCTGCCTGACCGTCTCCAGGGAACAGACTGTCTGCCTGTCTGCAACCACCCGAATGTCCTTGACCCAAATGAGCAGGCCGTTTGCCCCTGGCTGACAGCACGTCTAACTGACCCTCTCCGGCTGTCTCTCCAATTGCCTGAAAGACATGGGTTGCTTTGGCTGACAATCTCAGTATCTGACCGCCCCACGGAGCTCCCAGCTCTGTCTCCTGACAGCTGGCCGGCCTGGGTGCCACCTCTTCAGCCTTCCTCTCAGCTTGAAGAAATGCACTCCAGCTCTCAGCATTGGCACCGCCCTACCCAGCTCGGGGATGGGGTCAATATCCTCTGCGGATGGAGGACCCTGTCCCTGAGCCTGCACCCCGGCTCAGGCCGCTACAGCAGAGGCTGCACTCCATGGCGGGGGGTCATTACCATGGAGCCAGCCGGTGAACTCCACAGCCCGTCTAGAACGAGGGCCTGACTCACTGGCCACTGGGAACTCCCCGGCCCCGGGACCGGCTGCCCCACGGCTGCTCTGACCTGCACTGATCCCTGGCCGAGTTAACCTCGGTCTGGGTTTTGGCCTGAATCCCACTATCTCCTGCTGACTGTCCACTTACTCCTAATGGCCTAACCTCAAGGATCACTCCCCCTCTGAGGCTCCTGACCCAACCTCGGGACCCCGTCCATGCAACCCAGCAGCCCCTCCTCCCAATCCTGGGACCCTGGTTTTCCCTTCCTCCAGGGCCCTGCAAAGAGAAGGAAGAGGAGTAAGGCCCGGTCCCCATCCCCTCCCGCCCACCCAGCTCTCCGACCCCCTCCCCTCTTCTTGCCTTTCCGGAAGAGTCTGGTCAGGGGGTTGGAGACCTCCTCTCCTCTGTGCTGCTTCCGGTAGTCTGGCCTCATTCATCAGGTTTCAGACTGGGATCCAGGGAACCCAGCCCCTTGTGTAAACACAGGGGAGGGCCTGTGCAGGTCTCACGTGGTCTGGGGTGCAGGGCCCCCGGCACTAAAAGCTCCCAACCCTGGAGCACACGCTCACGGGGCTCCTTGCCCAAGAGGCCAGCAGCCCACCAGACTCGGGCTCCCTGGGAAGGGGAGTGCTTCACCTGTTCCCACACACCCATCCAGCCATCTGGGCGGCCCTGTCCAAACCCCACCCAGTCCGGAGCTGGCCTGGAAAGAATAGGAAATTCGGTTCTTTAAGCAGGTGCAGAAATCACCTGACACCTGACTCTTGGAAAAGAGGCGGGGCTTCTGCATTATGGGACCGCAGGGAGGAGGGTCCCAACAGGTGCATCCAGCCAAATACACAGCAGAGCACACACCTAGACCGCCAGAGGGCGCCTGCAGGTTGAGGCAGAGGGATGGGCAGGCACCTGGGATTGGAAGCCTCTGCCCAGCCCCTCCATTGCTGGAAGGGCTGGTCTCTATACAGATGGGTGCTTGGTGTGCAATTCCCCAAGCCAAATGCATTCTGGCCCACAGGCTCTAATTCTCTCCCAATCTTATGCCCCAATAATACACACACAGGACCGTCAGCGTCCAAAATCTTTTTAATAACAAGGCGGGATCCAGGGTTAGTTTTTGTAGCCGCGGCTGGCCCTACGGCCTCTGGCTCGCTCAAATTTCCGGCCCTTGGAGCGCACATAGGGTCTGTGAAGGGAGAGGAAGGAGCGTGAGTGTGCCCCGGTAAGGGCCTGAGTGCATACTGGGGACTCAGAGTAGCATGATGTTGGCTCTAACAGTAGCACAGGGACACCAAGGAACGTCAGTGGTGACACGAAGTGGGCTGCTGTAAAAGCCTTGGCAGTACAGGAAGTGAAGACGCCAAGAGCCCAGGCCCTGGGAGTCGTTACCCTGAATGCCCCAGGGCTGGGAACAATGCAGGCCCCACCTAGAAGGTGCCAAGCCGACCTTAAACAGAGCCTGCACCTGTAATGCTGGCTGCACAGGACGCTCGATGCCCTGAGCAGCACGGCTTTAAGCCAAGTCTTGAAAAAAGTGGGTATGATGGCGGGGTGTGTGTGTGGGGGGGGTGGGGGACGGCGGAGGCAGGTTAAGGAGGCATGAGGCTAAACTAGTGAGAAACAGAGCAGCTGGAAGCAAGGCAAAGGCCAGACGGGCAGGGCAGGGTCCCGCAGGAGCCGGGCCTGGGTATACTCACTTGGTGTGGCTGTGCGGGGTTCCAGGGGCCTTGCCGAAATGCCTGTACACCTCTCGGCCCTTGCGAGGACCTAGAGAAGGGAGGGATGGGTCAGGCAGTCACCCAGCACCCACATCTCCTGCAAGGAGCCCCTTTCTAGGGCTCAGGCTGCTTGTGACGGTGGGGGTGGGAGAAGCCCCTGGGGGGAGGTGAGGCTGACTTGCACTGGGTACCCGCCACTAAGTGTCCCTCACCGGAGAGCAGGACGGTGCCACAGCCCTTGGGGGAGTCCAGGGCCAGCTGGTCAAAGGTGAGGATCTTGCCCCCGGCCTTAAGGATGCGGCTCCGGGCGCGGCTGCTCACACGAAGTGCACACACCTGCGGGACACGGGGGACAAGTGTGGTCAGAGCGCCCTTGCACAGCCCCCAGCTCGGCCTGGTAACCCCCACCTACTAGGAGAGCTTCCTGAGCTGACGACAGCCGTTTTTACCACTTCTAGAACCCACGTCCATTACAAGTAAGGAACCTGAGGCATAAAGAGATCCAGGACTGTGTCCAGGGGCGACAAAGCGACGGAGAAATCTAGATTCGAATCCAGGCTGTCTGGCTCAAGAGCCAGCACCGTCGACAAGGCCCCAGAAGGGGCCCGCCCAGGGATACGACCTTCAGCAATGCGGGTGACAGGCCTGCAGCCCCCAGGGAGGCGAGACTGAGGGCCCAGCACCCAAGGACGACCCAGGTCCACTCGACTCCACCCTTGGCCTGTGCTGGGCCCCTGCCCACTCACCTTGAGCTTGGGGACCTCCTGGACGCGCACATCGTCCGTTATCGTCCCTACGACCACGGCGGTCTTGCCCTCCCGGCCAGGAAGCTTCATCTTCCGGATCTTTGGGGGAGAGGCATGTCTGGTGTTTAAAGCCGACCCCACTGCTCGGGCATCTCCAGGGCCAATGGTGGTGCCTGAGCCAACCTGCCCCCCTGCCCCGGTTAGGCCCGGGGAACCTCCAAGAAAAGGTGAGCACAGATGTGCCTGCAGGCTGCTCCTGTAGTGCCCTTGACTTGTACGACTTTAGGACGTGAAGTCTCAGAAAGCGCTCACGACGCCACTGGAACCACCCCCACCTCACAACGGAAAGGAAAACCAAGCAGGCGGCCAGGCCAGATGGACATCCCCGTTACTAGGGCTACAGCCCGAGGGTCGGAGCTCCAAGCCCGCCCGCCCTCCCGGTGCCTAGCTCCACATCCGACCCAGTTGCCCCTCAGGTTGGCCAAGCCCCCAGCAGCCCCTCACCATCCGAGAAAGGGACAGAGGCGGCCGGTTGGTGCGACTCATGAACAACCGCTTCAGCACCACCTGGTTGAAGGTGGAGTTGGTCCGTCTGGCTAGAAACCTGTACAACTGGGGGGTGGGACGGGGGAGGAATGAGAACCCGGGGTGGCCCACTCCCCCTTCCCAACTTTCTAAGGAACCGGCAACCAAATGACTCCTGGCTGTCCCCCATCCCACAGAGCTCTAGGGAGAGAGCTGCCCCAGGTCCCTCCGGGTCAGGGTCCCTCCCCAGCGCCTCGCTGTGCACAGCCCCGAGGCTGCAAACACTGAACTGCCAGATGCTCTGGGGCAGACCCCGTCCTGCGAGCCCCCGGGAGCTGCGGTGCTGGGGTGGCCCTGCCCAAGGGCCTCAGGCCCCCTCCTCACCTTGACCAACAGCCTTAGGTAGATGTCCTGGCTCTTGGGCTCCTTGCGCCGAACCTTTCGGTCTTTGTTGTGGCGGATGTCGACCCCCTGCAGGGTGAAGGGGACAGACATGGTGGCTGCGTATGATCTACTGGGTCACTCACCCCTGACCATCCTCAAGTATTACTTATCTCCCAGACAGAGCTAGAGCTCCAGGCTCTAAGGAGACAGTCCAACCACCGGGAGGCCTCTAGAAGTCACTTCAATACTCTGGGCCTCAAATGACCCCTCTGCAAAAAGAGGCTAATTCTATATGCAAAATCTTCAGCACATGAGAAAACAGCACCTCGAAACGGTTTAACGCAGCCGTCAAATGATTTCCACAAAAAGTGTTAACTCCAGAAGTCGTATTTTTCAACAATCTAAGTGTTTAAGTTCCCAGTACTTGCTCCTACACATGGAGGGTGACGAAAAACATTTACACCAAGGGCAGACGCTAAGCAATAACGAATCTTTATTTAGAAAGTAGTCCGTACAGAAACAGTTTAGAATGATCTTTTATGTACGCCCTGAAACCAACAACCCCATGAGGTAGTTTCCCACTTTAGCGCTAAGAAAACTCTGGGAAGCTCACCATTTCCACTCCCTGCCTGCCTGCTCTCCTGAGGCTGTTTAGACTACATTATCCATTGTAAAGTACTTAATTATTAACAGCTCCCACTGAACTAACACTTAACATTTGCAAAAACCTATGGCGAATATGTCCTACAACTTCTTTCTTCCGAAACTCAAATATACGAGACAATTACTGTCCCCAATGAACAGATGGAGAAAGTGAGGCACGGGCTGGGAAAGCAAGGTCTCCGGGTGGGCAAGGAGCTGAGACTCACACGAAGGCCTGTCTGCCCCCAAACCCGGGCACTGGACGCTCGACACCCCCCAGAACCCAACTTTCCAGGATGCAGAGTGACAACTCTGGGTAGAGGGAGCAAAGGTAAAAATGACTGTGGGACCAGCGCTTGGGTCCGAATCCCGGTTCCGCCACTTCCCGGAATTTTGATGCCGGTCGTTATCACTCAGCCACCCGGTAACTTAATTAGGGCAGCTATTCAATAGGCGCTATAATGAAAATACAGGAGGAGCTGAAGTCTGATATGACTGACCCATGCTGGTCTTTGGGTCCCCCGGGTAGCCCCCCACCACGGGAATCGCCTCCTTCAGACGCCTCCGGAACCCCTGCCTCCCTCTGGCGCGCCCCCAGCACGAGGCCACGGCGGATGGCGGCGGATGGCCGAGCTCCGAACGCCGCGAAGCGCACTCACCATGATGGCGCCTTCTGTTCCACCAGGTCCGGAAAGAGAGAACGGAGCCGGGGTGGGCGGGGAAAGCCTTCCGCGAGCGGCGCCTCCGTGACGTCACAAGGCCGCGACGCGGCGATCTAGCGCGACGCGGGTCTCTCTATGGTGAATCGGACCTCCAGCTAGATGGGCTTTTCCCGAATAAGGTGTCGGGGAACAACCAAAGAGGAAAGAGGGCTACGTCAAGGAGGGAAAGGCCAGCACGTCTGGGCCTCTCTGGCCCTACCCGGTCCCCGTTTTCGATAGTCTTCCGGAAGAAAGAGATCTGGGAGCGAGAGAGATGTCGCGCGGAGCTAGGAGGCCTTGTCGCGCGGTGACGCTCTGGCCCGAAGCCGACGGCCTCTCTGTGGCTTTTGGAGGACCGGGCGGGCCGGGTATTGAAGGTGAGGAGGCGGGGCAGGCGGGACAAACCCAGACCTTCGGAAAACCGCTGACCGCATTCCTTTCTATTAGGCTGATCTCTGCCTTATCTCGTGCTGCGCTTTCCGGGCGCGGGCACTGGTCGGGGAGTCCTTCTTGCGGTCTGACTCGAGATCTTGCAGCAGCCCAGTCTATAGCAGCCAGGATTTCAACGTTTTAGGTCACGTTTCTCCCTCTGCCCTAAGATGGCCCTGCCTTGACCCCTCCTCAGCCTCTGTCACCTCGGGGCTGCTTTCCCCAGTCAGAGAGAATCAAGTGTCCCAGCGGGTTCCTTGTGGTAGATGTGCACGGTCCTGGAGTGCACGGGAGGCACGCTGAGGTCCCGGGCTTGGAGAGTGTAGTAGAGAGAGGGGATGGGTAAAAACTGAAGGAGAAGGGTTGGAGAGACTTAGAAAGAGAGAGAGATTCAGAGAAGAGGAGGAATGAAGACACAGAGGGGAAGTGGACAGAGACCCAGCGTGGGGGGGATAGAGACCCCGGGGGTGAGGAGACCTAGAAAGAGGAGGAAGATGAGAGCAGGGAGGAGTCGAAACATAGGAAGAAGGCAATGCCATCTGTAACCAAATTCAAATCCTGGCTCTGCTGCTTAATAACAGTGTGACCTTGAGCAAGTCATTTAACTTCTCTGTGCTTTACTTTCCTTATCTACAAAAAAGGGATGACGATAGGTCTGGCACGCAGGGTGTTTTTCAGCGTTATATAGGTTACTAAAAATGCTTACTACAGCGTCTTGCACATAGTAAGTGCTCAAGAAAAATGAGGGCCCATCCCTGTTTATTGGCTTTTATCAGAGGAGACAAGATGAACTGGCTGGGGCAGTGACAAAGCTGACCTCTTTTCTCTCTTCCCAGGGAGCCCTTGCCCCTTGGGCCTCAAGCACATCCAGCCTGGTCTCCTGTAGTCTGCCCTTGAATTTCTGAATTATTCACCTCGTCCCCACAGAGCCAAAGGCCAGGCCTGAACAGTGAAGCTTGACTCCTTGTCCACACCACCCTCCCATGGCCTCCAGCATAGGGCCAGGGTCTTGCTGATGTGGTAACACAGCAGCGGGCCAGCAGATGAATGGACACTTTGAAGCACAGGAGCAGCAAGACCAGGTAAGAGTCCCTCTGAAAGTCAAGATCACGGTACCATGAGACAGTTTACTCATCTTCCTTGTCCCTGTTCCCCTTGTCTCTTGTGACTTGGTCTCTTTATTGTGTCCCAGCCTCTTTGATTGGTATATCTGCCTTTCTGTCTGCCAGGGTCCCAAATTCAGGTGCCGTGTTTCCCTGTTTCTGTCCCCCACTCTCTGGGTCTTTCTTTGGCACGTACCTGGTGCTGTCGCTACTCTGAGTTAAACACAAAGTACATTATTTGGCAATAAATGAACTTCTTCCACTTAACTGTTTTTAGCAAGCTCTGTCCTTATGTCCTTATGCATGTGTTTCTCCCTACAATTCTGCCTCCTTCTAGGTCTGATATTATTCTTGCCTTGATTTCTTTGGGTTTCACCATGTCTTTGCCTCTCTCTGTCTATCTGCCAACATCTTTGCTTTCTGTCTCTTCGTCTCGGTTCCTCTCAGTCTCTGGGCCTCCAACATTCTCTCCTTACGTCTCTCCTGATTTAGAGGTCTCTCTGATACTGTTTCTCCCATCCTTCCTTGTGTCTCTGTCTTGCCATGTAACTGAGTCATTCACTAGGCAGATGTGTATGTCATCCTCCCTCTGCTGTAGTTTGAGCCCAAAATAAATTGTTTGACATTTGAAAAAATTTGATATACAATATTATATCAATTTCAGGTGTACGACGTGATTCGACTTCGTATACATTGCAAAATGATCACAAGTTTAATTACCATCTGTCACCACCATGCAGAGTTAATACATTATTGACTATGTTCTCCATGCTGTACATTAAATTCCTATGGCTAATCGATCATTTGTGAATTCATGAGCCTCTTCTCCCTGGTTTTCATTCTAGTGTCTGTCTCCGTCTCTCTCTGTATGTCTTTAATTTTCTGGGTTTTCTTGCATCCTTACCTCGCACATTCTTAATTCTACTTTGTCTTCGTATCGTTGCTTTTCTCTGCATCTTTCTCTCTGGCTCTATCTGAATAAGAGACAATACTCTCCAAGTCTCTTACTGCCTCTGACTCTGCTTCTCTAGGCCTCTTTTATTAAGTCCCTTTGCATAACTTTGGGTTTTTGTTACCTGCATTAGGATCAGTCTATCTGCAGCTAAAGACCTCCATCGTGCCCCCTCTCTTTTATAAATCCGATGGTTGGGACCTGCCCACTTGCCCTCAACAAGGATGGCGATATAATCGCTGGTCGTGGGGATACGGTGCCGCCCCTGCCGCGCGTGTTCCCTGACTTACAATGGCGACTGATCTCGCGAGATTGATGCCCCGCCCAGTTCTCCGGCTCTCCCGGCGCGGGCCCTTGCGCCAAACTCGCGAGTTGTCTGGGTCCGCCCCCCGCGCGCACTCATTGGTGCGGCTCAGGCTGGCCGCGCGGCCATTGGCTGAGCGGATGCACACTCCCCCCCACACCCCTGGGTCAGCTGGGGGCGGTTGGTGGTGACTTGAGGGGCAGCCTGGAGGAGGACCCGGCGTGTGAGGAGGGTTCGGGGGCTGGGCAGGGACCCGAGTCTGGGAAACCAGGGGACCAAGAGGAACGGAGAGACGCAGGCCCAGGACTGGGGTACCAGGGATGTGGGATGGAGATGGAGAACCAGGAACGGGACTGAGGGATCCGGGAATGGAAACCCAGGTCTGGGACTGGGTTGTGGAAATCGGAGGTGGTGGGTGAAGGCCCGGGACCGGGGAAACCCGAGACAAAGACTCAGGGTTATGGATTGAGGGGACCTATGGATAGAGACCCAGGTCCAGCTCTGGGATACCTGGGAAATGGAGAGAATGGAGACCAGGCCAGAGGCTCCGGCCCAGGACTCGGGGAGATCTAGGGCTCTGTGTCTAAGCCCGATATGAAGCAAGCAGTGGGGCTTGAGGGAGCGTCCACTTATGGGGGTGTATCTGGGGCAGCTCCCCTCCTGGGGGAGGTCAGGGGCAGGACTGGCGGGTGGCTAGGTGGGTGGGGCATTGGGGAACAAAGGTGAGCAGGAAGGAGGAGGCAATAGCAGGGCAGAGGACAGGGGGAGGGCCTTTGGGGAGGGGACCTCTGGTGCGGCTCCCATCCCTTCCCTGGAGAGCAGGCGGCCAGACAGACGCCCAGGTCAGTCCTCTGAGTTCAGTTCTTGGCCCCTGACCCTTGCAGGTGCCTGCATGTGGCTCTTCTGGCTCTGACCACTTAGCCCCTCCGTGTCACATCCGTTCCTTAGTCTTTCTTGGTGTTTACATCTCCTGCCTCTCCTATCTGCTGCCTTTTTCTCCCTCGTCTTTTTGACCCTCAGAGGGTCTCCCGGAGCACTAAACGCTTACTCTCCTAAGTATCTTTCATCGTCCTAGGTCTCATTTCATTGAAGCCGTTTGTCTCCTTCTCTCAAGGTTTCTCTGGCTCTCAGGGCTTATCCCTCTTTTCCTTTGTGTCTGAGCGTCTCTCTCTTGTTACTCTCTCTGTCTGGAGACGTGTGTCGTTTTTCTGTGTCTTTGCATGTCTCTTTCTTCCTATTATCTCCGCCATCCTGATCTCTCTGCTCTGCCTTATTTCCCCCAAAAGCCCTTATCATCCAACACACGATATTTTACTTTATCTTGTTTTTCTGTCTTCTGATTAGACTATAGACTCCGTGAAAGCAGGGATTTTTGTCTGATTTGTTCCATGCTGTGTTTGCTGGGCCTGGCACTGACTGGCACGTAGAGGGTACTGGGTAACTATATGGAAAATAAATAAATGAATGAATGTTTGCATGGCTGGGTGCACACCCTCCAAGATTCTGGCCTTCCTGTGCAACTGATCTCTCGTATCTTCAGGGTCTCCCCACACCTGTCCGGGCCTGTCTGTCTCTGGTGCACCTGTGATCCCCCTCATTGTCTCCTGTCCACAGGCCTTGCCCCTGCTTCCCTCCAGCTGCCATGGAGGTCCCAGACTTTGACTCCTGCCCTCCTTCCTCCCCACAGAGGCTGGACCAGGAGCTGACCTGGAGCTGGGGCCACAGGCCTAGGAGTGCCCTGGACAGGGCCGAGGCCATGGCCCCGCCACCATCCCCACCATTGGCTGCCAGCACCCCGGTCCTGCATGGCGAATTTGGCTCCTACCCAGCCCGAGGCCCACGCTTCGCCCTCACTCTCACACCACAGGCCCTGCACGTGCAGCGGCTGCGCCCGAAGCCTGAAGCCAGGCCCCGGGGTGGCCTGGTCCTGCTGGCCGAGGTCTCGGGCTGCTGCACCCTGCGGAGCCGCAGCGCCTCCGACTCAGCAGCTTACTTCCGCATCTACACCTACCCGAGGGGCCGGCGCGGGGGCCGCCGCAGAGCCACGCGCACCTTCCGTGCGGATGGCGCAGCCACCTACGAGGGGAACCGTGCTGAGGCCCAGCGCTGGGCCACCGCCCTCACGTGCCTGCTGCGGGGACTGCCGCTGCCTGGGGACGGCGGTGAGCCCCTGGGCCGCCTTCGGGTCTCCGCGGAGCTCCCTCTTTGGGCATCTCTGCCTCCACTGTTCCGCGTGTGTGTGGCGTGTCTGTCGGACGGGTGGGAGCAGACGGGGAGGGGCCGCAGGAGGAAAAGTCGCAGGCTGAGAAACATGATGTGTGTCTGCTGCCCTCTCACTGGGTTCCTGTCCCCGTCCCCTCCCCCCACTTCCATGGGTCCTGACCACAGATGAGTCAGAGGCACTCGGGCTGATGAGAGCAGCAGACTGAGACGTGATCAGTCACCACCCGGGGCACTTAGAGGTGGCATCTAAAACATTAGCCTGTGGGGGTTTGGAGAAGGCTCTCAGGCAGAGGCCTGCACAAAGGCTTCTCGGGTGGCAGGAAGGTAGATTTAAGTGTCCTCATCTGGTGGGACTTCCTCAATCCTCCAGGATCCTGCGGGCTGCCTGGGGGCCGGCCCTAAGGGGTGGTGACAGGGTGGGAGTCTGCACAGTGAAGCAACCTGATCTTGGCATGCAGGTGTTCAGGGTGAGGAAAGTGGAAACCACAGCTCTCCTCCCTTCTCCCACACATGGGTCCAGAGGGAACGGGGATTAGACACCCAAGCCCTTTGTCTCAGCACCTGGGAGAAAGGGGTGGCCTAGACACGTGAGGCCCAGGAGAAATACAACTTTGAACTCCCATGAGGCTCCGGTGCCAGCCCTCGTGCTGTCTGCAGTTACTGTTTCTGGGGTGAGGAGCCTGGGCCCCTGGCCTTTGTGGACTCCTTCTCCTCTCTCTGCAGAAATCACCGCCCAGCTTTTGCCAAGGCCGCCCCGATTGCTCCTCCTGATCAATCCCTTTGGGGGGCGGGGCCTGGCCTGGCAGTGGTGTAAGAACTACGTGCTGCCGATGATCTCTGAAGCTGGGCTGTCCTTCAACCTCATCCAGACAGGTAAAGGTGGCATCAGGATGGATGGTGGGGGGTGGAGGGGGAACAGCCTGCCTCACCTCCTGGTTCCCCACTTTAGAACGACAGAACCACGCTCGGGAGCTTGTCCAGGGGCTGAGCCTGAGGGAGTGGGATGCCATCGTCACGGTCTCGGGAGATGGGCTGCTGTATGAGGTAGGGCAGGAGCCCCTTGGCCCTGGGGGGACTTTGGAGACCAGGACTAGCACCCAGGTGTCTGGTCTCCGGCCCTCCAGGTGCTGAACGGACTCCTAGAACGCCCCGACTGGGAAGAGGCTGTGAAGATGCCCGTGGGCATCCTCCCCTGTGGCTCGGGCAACGCGCTGGCTGGAGCCGTGAACCAGCTTGGGGGGTAGGTGGACCGCTCCTTCCGCGGGTGAGCCTGAGGGTGGGCCAGCCGGGACCCGGCACCTCTCCCCCTCCTCTCCCCGTCTGCCAGTCTACCGTCAGGTCGATCCGTCTGGCATTTTTGCTGGTCTTGTTCCCAGCTTTATCTCTAGTGCCTAGAAAGCTGTGCCTGGAACACAGGCGACACTCAGTGAATGCTTGTGGAGAGGAAGAATTGAAAGGGAACCTGGCCTAGTAAGGAGAGTCCAACCTGGAGGTGGCCGAATGGCTGTGGGCGGGCCCAGGGACATGGCCTTCCTGGTCCCCAGGCCATGTGTCTCTCCTCCCTTCCCCACGCTGTCTGTCACCCAGGTCTGTTTACATTCTCACTGTGTCGACTCTCTCTGGCTCTGAAGGTTTGAGCCGGCCCTAGGCATTGACCTGCTGCTCAACTGCTCCCTGCTGCTCTGCCGGGGTGGTGGCCGCCCGCTGGACCTGATGTCTGTGACGCTGGCCTCCGGGTCCCGCTGTTTCTCCTTCCTGTCTGTGGCCTGGGGCTTTGTGTCAGATGTGGACATCCAGAGCGAGCGCTTCAGGGCCTTGGGCAGTGCCCGCTTCACTCTGGGCACGGTTCTGGGCCTCGCCACACTGCATACCTACTGCGGACGCCTCTCCTACCTCCCTGCCACTGTGGAACCTGCCTCGCCCACCCCTGCCCATGGCCTGCCCCGGGCCAAGTCAGAGCTGACCCTGGTTCCGGCTCCAGTCCCACCCATGGCCCACTCACCCCTGCATCGCTCTGTGTCTGACCTGCCCCTGCCCCTTCCTCAGCCTGCCCTGGCCTCCCCTGGCTCACCCGAACCACTGCCCATCCTGGCCCTCAACGGTGGGGGCCCAGAGCTGGCTGCGGACTGGGGTGGGGCTGGGGATGTTCCACTGTCCCCAGACCCACTGCTGCCCTCGCCCCCTGGCTCTCCCAAGGCCGCTCTACTGTCGCCCATCACCGAGGGGTCCCCGGAAATGCCAGCATCCTCCGGGCTCTTGCCTCCCACCCTTGACGGTGACCCGGTAGCCATCTCTACTGGGGGCCCACCAGACCACCTGCTTCCTCCTCTGGGCACCCCACTGCCCCCAGGCTGGGTGACGCTGGAGGGGGACTTTGTGCTCATGTTGGCCATCTCACCCAGCCATCTGGGTGCCGACCTGGTGGCAGCTCCCCACGCGCGCTTTGACGACGGCCTGGTGCACCTGTGCTGGGTGCGCAGTGGCATCTCGCGGGCTACGCTGCTGCGCCTTTTCCTGGCCATGGAAAGGGGTAGCCACTTCAGCCTGGGCTGCCCGCAGCTGGGCTATGCCGCGGCCCGTGCCTTCCGCCTCGAGCCGCTCACGCCTCGCGGAGTGCTCACGGTGGACGGGGAGCAGGTGGAGTACGGGCCGCTGCAGGCGCAGATGCATCCGGGCCTCGGGACCCTAATCACGGGTCCTCCGGGCTGCCCTGGGCGGAATCCCTGAACCTAACGAAGCTTGGAGCCCGCCAGGGGCGGGGCCTACATTCCAAGGGGCGGGGCACGGCTGCTAGAGTTAGGGGGCAGTCCTCACGTGCAGGGACGTTAACCCTGTCTCAGGATTGCGCCCGTCCCCCAGAGGGTCAGAGGTGATGCTGGAGGGTTCCCCGACTTCAGAGGATGGAGACCGTCGGGGTCCCAGATAAGTGGGCTTCCCTGGAAGGTAGAGTGCCTGACCAATGAGGAGGGGGCTCAGTCCTGACCCTCGCTGAAGGCCGGGTCGGCTGAGGGCGGAGCTGCATTAACGCGTCGTCCAGTGACGGGACCTGGAACGTACGGGCTGGGAGAGGACTTAATTGGCCAGTCAGAGCCGGGTGCTCGCCCTGGCCGTTCCGGTGCCTCCACTTAACTGGCCAGTCGGCCCAGGCGGGGCAGGTTTCCCCGGCCGACGCTCGGATTTGCACTAAAGTTCCCCCTCCCCCGCCCCGCGGGTGTGGGCGGGGAAGTTCATTTCCGTCCTCCGTCTCCAGTGCGTCCCCGAACCCCGATCTTCAAAGCAATTGAAAAGGTCTATGCAATAAAGGCAGTCGCTTCATTCCTCAGACCTCGCCACCTCCTCCATCCGGCAGCCGAGGGGAGTGGTCAGACTCCGCACTGACAGCAGCTCTTGGCTTTCGTTGCGGGAAGCCCAGACCTGCCCGCGGCCTGCGGCCAGTGTGACCCGCTGGCCTTGAACCGGGGCCAGGGAGCTGCCTCCTCCCCCACGACAGCTGGCTCTGGGGTTATTAAGATTTATTCAGGATCGTGTTGACGGAGGCGGTGGGAAGGTGGGGTCCCCGACGTGCCGGGGGCACACACAGAGCCCCCTCCCCGCTCCCTCGAGGGAGGGGGAAGGCTCGCTTTTTCTTAAAAATATAAATGTATTTATCTGCATCATCACGTCCCTGGGGTACCCAGCTGGCCGGCCCGTGGGCCACAGGGCGGGGAGGGAAGAGGGCGTCAGGGCGCAAGTCTGAGCGAGGCAGAGGCGAACCCCGCCGGGTGTGGGGGTGGGGCAGCCTCACAGGGCTCCGTGCTGGGCCTGGTAGCGGGACAGCACGGCGCGGTAGTGGGACAGCTCCTGGCGCACGGCCACCACCTCCTGCCGCAGAAGGGCGTTCTCCTTCTCCAGGAAGGCCGCCCGCACGGATATCTGGTTCTCTTTGAGACGCCGGGCGTCGCGGGACCGCTTCGCTGCCTCGTTATTCTTGTACCGTCGGCTCCAATACTTCTCGTCCTGCGGGTGCGGAGGTGGAAACGCACTGAGGTTCAGAGGGGCCCGGGCCACAGCGAGAGAAAAAGATGGGGGAGGGGAGCAGCTTCGCTTGTGCCTTCAAGGAAGAGAAAAAGGGGGGGTGGGGGGAGCAGCTTCGCTTGTGCCTTCGAGGACCCAGGGAAATCTGAAAGGCTTCCAGGGCGGCTTCTTACCCAGCACTGGGGCCTAAATGATACCCGGTCCCCCCTGGGATGGGTACCCAAGGATCTGCCCTTCTAGGGCCCTGGTTGCTAAGGAGAGCAGGCCCCTAGCAATAGCTAACACATGAGATAGCCTCCCACCCCAAGTAACTGGGCTTTAACAGACTCCACTGTGCAAAGCAGACCCTACCCTCCTCACTTGAAAAAGGACCCGCAGTTAGCTCCTGGTTGCTAAGGCTGACTGTTTCCTAGCAACAGGACCTTCAGGGTGTGAGGGCTGCCGGTCAAAAACACTGCCCTATACATCACCTTTCCAGGTCCTGGTTGCTAAGGAAAGTCTAGCCTCCCCAGTGATGCGGCTTGCTGTTCTATAAAATCCTACCAGAGCTGGTCCCTTTGGACTTGGTTGCTAAGGCAACCTCAACCCTCCTCAGCAAACAAAAGTAAGGTCTAAGTAGTCCCAATACCTGCAGCTGGCTTCAGACTCACTGGCCTTAAATAGAAGCCAAAGAGCTGCCTCCTGCCCAAAGTCCTGGTTGCTAAAAGAGTTGTCCCCTAGCAAAGGGGCTGTCCTGAGAGCTCCCCACATGATTATGTCTAGGGTGCCCTAGTCCTGGAATTTGGTTGCACGGGAATACCACGTCTTAGTACTAGGGTGCACCCAGAGCTCTGAAAGATGCCTCTTGACCCTCATCTAATTAAAGCCTTATTTCAGCTTGCTGGGGCAAATCTAGTCCCTGGCAACAAGGCCCTGTGCCAGAAGAAACTACTGGTCAAGATTTGGTTTGCAGGCCAGTCCTCGCTGCTTCGAGTAGTTGTGTCTTATACGAAGGCATGGCAAAGTCCTGTGAGAGAAACCCAGGCATCTCTTGTTGGGAGAGCCCCCAGAACTTGGACAGGCAAAACGTCAAAAAGAGGCAGCCACGGCCCAAAGCACCTCAGATCAGAATGTGGCCCTGGTTGCTAATGGGAACCTGAGGCCTCTTGCCAATGAGGCAGTCCAGACCCAGGAAACAAGCCTACAGGGCTGGCAAAGTCTGCACCCTAGGCAGATGCAATCGCCACAAAGGATGTCCTATATCAGAGATCAAAGGACCAGCCCCAGCCCGGTTGGCTGCTAAGAAGAGACAGACTGACACCCCGTTGCTAAGAAATGCTGTCCTTAGCAACCGTGCCCAGCAGAGCCTGAAGCCCACCCCACAGAGGGTTTTCGGTCCAGCTGATAGGAAAAGCTCCAGGTCTGTACACCAGGCCTAGCAGGGCCGGCTGAGTCTGCATCTTACGATAATAATACCATCTTCAAAAATCAAGCTCAACACTTTGCCCCCTTGAGCTCCACGATCAAAGAGGGCTGATCCTTGGCTGTAGGTGAACCTGAGCGCTAAGCCAAGTGAGAACCGAGGCCTTCCTGTGAGGAAGGGGCCATCCCCGGCTGTGGGGCTTGTGCAAGCCAAGGCCCGTGTCCTACATCCAGCAGCGCTCACCTTCTGCTCCTCTGGCACCTGGATCTTCCTCGCCTTCTTCATGATGGGCTGAGGCTTCAGTTCCTCCTCTGAGAAGCGATGTCTCCGAGGGTCAAAGGTTTCATGGCCGGGAATGCTTGACAGGGCTAAATCAGCAGGGTCAGGTTCAAAGGTCATCAGCACCTCCACAGTATCTGGGTCCACAGGGCTGGGTGTGTCCCGAGAGGTCAGGCCTTGGAGAAATAAAATGTATCACCGGTATTTATTTTGAAGAGGAGGTTCCCGGAGGCTACCCCCTGCTCAGATATCGTATCCAGTATAAGAAAGGTCCTTATGTGGTCTAACATAAAGCTTGCCAGGGATCAACGTCCCTAACATAAAATAGGAAGATTTCCTACCCCACAAAGATGCTTAGAAATCATGGCACCAACTCCACTTTTGCAAACAGGGAAACTAAAGCCCAAGCATTCATTACCTGACTAAGTAGTCTGGGCTATTACTTGTAAAACCTCAGGCCATCAGAATCACAGTGATAGCTTCTTTCCCACAGTCTAGCCTGAATCCTTACGGAATCCCTGACCAAAGCCTAGACCCCTGGCTGCTCAGGGGAAGGAATTTAATGCACTGAAAAGTTAGCCTCTTAAGAACTATTAGCTCTCAAGAGTCAAGGAAGAGAAATGGAAACGGCTGAGGTTCCAGGTTGGTTCAAGAGGAAAGGCAGGCAGCCTGTGCCTTTAAGATCAAGCAAGCCGGGGCCAGCTGAGGACACAGGTTCAGGGCCGAGTCACGTGCCAGCGCCTGCTTTCCCGCCCCGCCCCCCCGCCGCCACAGGAGCCCTCACGTTCCCTAGGCCCCGCCCCCTCCCGCGTGACCGCGCGTGCGCGAAGCACGGAGGAGGTTAGGAGAGGACTCACGTGGCGCGGGAATGTGCGGCTGGGAAGGGGAGGGCCCTGGTTCTGCCCGGAGGTCGGACCAGTGGCAGGTGTGTCCAGGAATCCCCGATCTGCAGCCCGACCCCAAGGTGCCCGAGGGAGCACACCTTTCCTCTCGATCCCTCGGGTCTCTCAGCTCGAACCTCTCAACCTCCAAAGATTCAGTCCCCCCTGCTCTCTGGGGAACACAGGAGAACCGGCCCCCTCGATCTTCTCCCCAGGGCCCCAGTCCCCTCACCACTGGGGTACACACAATTCTGGGATCCGGGGCCCCTCCTCTCCCAGGAATATAGGAAGCTCGGCCCTCGCCCCAATGGAAAACCTAGAGTGAAGATCCTCGACCTTCTTCCTCCAGGACCCGGGGCCCTAGCCCCTCTCCAGTGAAGGACCCAGGAACCAGAGCTGACAGTCTCTATGTGTGGGGAAACATAAGTCTGTGCCCAGCCCTCCCCCTACGCCCGTAGAGGGCACAGGAGTTCCGGTCCTATCTCAGTTCCACCAACTCCGGGCCCAGAATATGGGGCGCAGTCCATTCCCCAGTAAACAACTCCGGTGTTCTGGGCTCTCAGTCCCGATTTCACGAGTCCCCACGCCCCACAGAAAAGTCCACACTACCTCCCCGCTGGGCAAGCTTTCTGGAATTTGGGGTCCTAAGTCCCTCCCTTCCTATGGACCCAGTCCTTGATCCAGTAAGGGACACAAAATTCGATCTCCTCTCCCGAGATCTCTCAACTAGGGGGTCCAGAATTCAGGCGCGCAGCCCCAGTGCCACGGACAGGCCCCCGGTGTCTCGCAGCCCCGCCCCTCGT